TATTTTTTTAGTTTAAAAAATCACTAAATATATTTTTATTTTTATTAAATTTTATCAAAAAAAAAATTAAATGTAATTATTTTTTTTTGTAAATGTAAGTACTTTTTTGTTATATTTGTTTAATTTTATAGATCTAAATACTTTTTGGTTCAAAAATTGTTTAGGGACTTAATCGTTCAAAATATGAATATTCATTGGGTTTTTTCCGGGCTTTTTTTTGCTATTTTACCACATTAACTAGTTGTACAAATCATAATAACGTATCCAACAGGTTCTAGAAAAGTCCAAGGAGCTATTTTATATGTTTTGGATTGTCCAAATACTTGTTTGTTCCAAAAATTGTCCAATGAGTTATTTAACATGTTTTAAATTGTCCAATGACTTATTTGTTCCAAAAATTTGTCCAATGAGTTTTTTAACATGTTTTGAAATGTTCAATAACTTATTTGTTCCAAAAAATTGTCCAAGGACTTAAATTTATTTTTAATTTTTATAAATGTATTGTTAATGTTTTAATTAATTGATAATTTATATATGTATTTTTTTAAAAATAAATTTTAAAGCTACAAAGATAAAATAATTTAATACAAAAAAAGACTATCAAAATAAATTAATTGATAAATCAACAGATAAAGTACAAAAAGTTTGAAAATATTACAATTCAATCAAGTGAAATAAATTCCATAGTACGATTACTATATAACAGTTGTTCGTACTTATTTATTCGGTTCATGTACGAAATAGCCCATGCGGTTGTGCAATCATGTTTGAAACGAAACCAATTTGGCACTATAGAAGGCATCGGGTGCCCTTCTGCCAAAGATATTTTGACATAATGATTACCGTTAATGTACCCAAATTGTAAAAGCAACATGTTTATACCACGGTGGATGACTAGATCGAAGTGGGAAAAATGTCAGACTACCTATAGTTGTTAAAGAATGTAGTATCACATTGTATCTTGAAGCAATCAATAAGCTCGTTTCAAAAACATCCATCTAATGCTCATTTGGTGCAAATGAGTCCAGCTCAAAGAAGTTCAAGAGGTTATAAAGTTGATGGCATAGTTCAATGTCATACACCTCAAGATATTATATCTTGTACATATTTAACTCCTCCGTTAAATCATATCAAATAGATGATCATTCATCTTCATGGCGACAGAGACAAACAGCTATCACTCGAAATCCACGATTTCCATCGCCTTTTACATCTTGTACTTGTGTGACGTAAAGATGAAAATAATTTAAAATTTGATTAATACATTGAGATAAAAAAAATAACTTGCATTAACTACGTAAAGTACCTGCACGAAGTAAGGATGAAAAATAATTGGAAATTAATTAATATATGGATGTGCATAGTTTTTTTTTTGTTGAAGTACAAACTATGTCTCGTTTGTTCATTGTTTGCCAAAATATCAAACTCCACAAATGTTGACGCGTATGGACAACTATGTCAATGAGGTTCCTGAGTTGGTGGGTCGACATTGAAAATCGTTTTTCCAACTAGTCATTAACAAGTTCGAAATCGTAAAAGATTAAATGTTGAAATGGTTACCTATGAATGAAAATACAAATTTCACTTCTTTTTTTATAGATTATTTTCTGAATTTTTAAAGTTATAGAAGGATTAATGATATATTATAAGAAAATATAGATAAAATGAAAATTAAGAATTTATATATGAATTTTTTAAGTTTTTATTCGATTTTTATAAGGACAAACTATACAATTATATACATATGGTTAAAATTTGTAAAATAATAAAATAAATGATATATTATTTTTTATAAAAAAAACAAGGTTTATTGCTTTTCAATTTAATGATTTTAAATATAAAGTATATAATACAAATAAAAATTGTAATTACTATAAACTGATAATAATTATTATCTAATAATTAAAAAAAAGTAAGAAAGAGGGGGGACATAAGGGAGAGATATTTTTTTTTTCAAACTTTTAAGCTATTTAAAGTTGTTAGTAGGTCTTTTTTTTTTACTTTTTTAACAGGTGAGGTATAAATAACAACTTTTTTTTTTTTTTTTTTGTAATTATAGTTTTTTATTATTATATTTTATATTTGTACAATATAATTATCAAAAAGGATATTTAAATCAAATTTGTCTCCTTTTGTATGATTGGTGGATGGATGATGAGGTGGATGCCAAAACTAGAGTGGGTGGAGTACTTTGGAATATGTTTTTGGTTTTGCGTCTTTTATTATATTTACAATATCTATACTATATTATAAAGTATTTGATAAAAAAAATTAAAAATCAATTTTTATACGTAAAGTACTGTTTATCAATGCATTTTACTTAAAACTCAAGATTGCAAGTAGATTGTGCATAAGTACAATTTATTAAAGCTCCATATCTGAATTCGTGTAACTAACTGCAGATAAACATCTCATTTTAAATATAAAAAATCTAAAATATAATTAGAAAAATCATTGAATTATAACAGAATATTTAATTATTATCTTTATAAATGTTATATTATTAAACCAAAAATAAATTATTTCGTTATTAAACTTAAATTAAATTATAATAAAAAAATAAATTAAAAAAATTACATAAAAATGAGAACTTTTAAATAGTTGATTTGATATTAACATTGATATATATATTTAAATTTTTTATGATATCTTCAAATTTATATTTTATTCAAAAATAAAATCATTATTGTTTTTTTAAAAACACATAAAATCGTATTATAACACCGACAGAAACAAATAATAAAATAAAACATTAGAAAAATGATGATGTGTCTAGCTGCATTGCACGAATACTCTTCTAATAATTCTTAATACAATTTCTTAAGTGATTTGTTAATTTTAGAAATCATTTAGAAATTGCTCTTTATTATAATGGTTTATTGTTAATTTTTTAAAGTTCTTAAAATTATAATCTTAATCTAGTAACAATAAAACTTCAATTAAATATTTTTTATTGTAATTTAATACTAAGGGGCCGTTTACAAAAAACTTATCCGGTAAACGTTTACCGGTAAAATTTAACACTACTACTTATTTGCCGGGTAAGACTTTATTCCACTAAAACGGCATCGTATGCAACAATTTACCCGGTGAACGCTTATTATGGTAAAAGTCATCGCCCTCACTTACCGGATAAGACTTTTGGTCTTTGTCACTTTCTTACCAGGTAAGATTCTTGGTTCTTACCATATTCATCCGGTAAGATAATGTAACTTGGTAAGTCTTACCCGGGTGAACGTTTGGTAAACGACTCCTAAATAATTATTACAAAGTTAAATATTTTGATTTAATAAATAGATGTTTACAGTTACGCATTAATTTTTTTTTAATTTTTTTAATGTTTTTGGTATAGTTTTGAAACTTTTAAGAGAGTTTCTATATTTAAAAGAGTATGCTATGACTTATGAAAGATTTGAGGCATAGTTTTACTAATCTTATTTACATTATATTTGTATTTTATTCGGCAATAATTTTTATTTTATTGTAATAAATTATATTTTGTATTTTTAATATTGATTAGTATATTAATGTTATAAAAAATCGTATATAATGTTAAATTTATATTTTCATAAATAAATAAAAAGATCATTATATCAAGATTAGTTAAAGATCTAACCGTTTGTATATGTTTTTATAACTAAAATATCATTTAATAAATTATTTATATATTTTATAAATACTAGAAAGGTGCTTGCATAATACAACGAGACACATCTCGATTTTAGTGTTTCATTTTATTTATTTTTGTCTCAATCGATGTTAATAATAGGGTTCTATGTGGTTTTGAGAAAGCGATAACGTTTTTATTTTTTAATAAAATATAAATATGAAGATATCATTACCAAACTAACTATTTAAAAATTCTTGTTTTTTTATGTATTTCTTTAATGCATTTTTTTATTTTTGGTTTCATAATATAATCATAAAGATAATAATTAACAATTTTATTATAACTCAATGATTATTCTAATTATATTTTAGATTTTTTTATATTTAAAATGAAATGTTTATTCTCTATTTGATTATATTTATCTACAATTAGTTACACAATTTAACCATGAAGCTTTAATAAGTTGTATTTACGTGCAATTTACTTGTAATCTTGAATTTTAAGTAATATGCATCAATAAACCGTCTTTCATGTATAAGAATGGTTTCTGATAATTTATGTCAAATGCTTTATAATATAGTATAAATACTTCATAAAACATCAAAAACATGATGTGACACACATCAATTTTTATTAAAAAATTATACCCTACAAAATTTTGTATTATTCAGTATTCACTGCCACATCAGCAAAAAAAATACAGTAACATTAGCAATTAACAAACACTTATTTGTTACTAAAAAATATACTCACAACCACTATAATTTCTTAATAATAAATCTGACGTGACTTTAGAAAAAACTTTAAAGTCATTAATAAATCTTTATAATGGATGGTCATTATTGTTTCCCTTATTTGAGACTTAAGGGTTATTTTATTTGTTTAAATTAGGATTAAATACATAATATACTTTCATAAATTTTCTTATTATAATATTATATTTTTGGTTTTCTTTATTACAACAATGCATCTTCAAATTATTTTTTATTAAGACATCGCACTTTAAAAAATTTACTCATTATAGCAATGGATAACTTGTTAACTTTTAAACCGGTTAACCTTTTGACTTTTTTTTTTCATTGTATGGCTTTAATAAGACGATGTGAATGACACATCATATTTTGATGACTTAATTCAAATAAAAACTTACTTTAAATTATTATTAGTGATTTTTATTTTTTATTGCTATGATTTAAAAAAAAAAAAATTAACCTTTTCTTATTAAGTTGAAAAAGAACACAAATGTTTTATAACATAAAATACGGATCATATGTAACATACTGGTTGGATATTCCTTCAATACGCTCCAGGATGTTATAAAAATAAATAAACATTCTCCAACAAAATTGGAAAAAGATGTTTCTCGAAATAAATAAATAAATTAAAATTAACCAAATAACCTTTTTTTTTTTTTAAAAATCAACCTAAAAACTTAAAAATCCATCAAAATCAATAAAAAAAACTTAAAACATTTGTCGAAACAGTAGAATTCGGCTAAATCCAAATGAAATGAGTTTACAGACTTTTGATCCATCTCAATAGTATATCGCTCCACGAAAATTCCAAAGGTTCGCCACCATATATGATACAGAAGTTATAATAATTTGAAATGGTTTATCTCATCTTTGGTATATGTATCTCTATATCTTACCAAAACCAAGTTAATATTTTAATTTAATTTCATTAATTTAAAATTTAAAAATATTTTGTAACGTAGTTAATGGTTTGTGGGTAGTTTAGTTGGTTGTCAGCTATTAGCCATCAGATGGCGTATCAGTTAGTTTATCAAATATAACTTAATTTTTTATTTATTTTTATTGGCGTCGATCTTTTTAGATGAAAAATAACATTGAATACAATTATTTGCTAATAAGAATGGCTTTCGGTGTGTTTTTTCAATAATTAAAATAATAGTATCTCAATGATTAAAAAACAGTATAATATTTGTAACCATTTGAAAATCTTGATGGTTGTAAGATAAATATTATACATTTGAATTCATGTCCAAAAATTATGATTCACATGTGATGTAAGAATATATTACATGTGATGATGCATGTTGACAACAAAATGATACACTTAAAAGGGTTGTTTACCAAATGATTACTTAGTTAAGCACTTATTAAATCATATTATTTTACTGGATGAATATGATAAAGACTAAGAATCTTACCTGGTAAAAACGAAGACAATGACTGAGAGTCTTATCCGGTAAGTGACGACAACAACTCTTACCACAGTTAGCACTTACCGGGTAAACTATTACACACGATGTTGTTTTGGGGGATAAAAATGTTACCATATAAGTAAGCGATAATGTCGAATTTTACCGGGTAAGTAATTAAGCAAACGTCTCCTTACTATTCGACAAAGGGGTTAGGCACCTTTAAACCGCCATTCCATTTAGTAATAATTACAAATATTTAAGCGACTTAATATTACATCTCTCAATAAATATGCACAATGATCATACTAAATAACACTGATTAGTGTCAATAAAAAATTACTCTTTTTAAGATTGTTTTTTTTATTAAGATCGATTCAAAACTTCAAAAACTATAGTCTAGGGTTTACATTTCTAACCGGACTTTTTTGTATTAATAAATACAAAAACTTTTTTTTATCCTTATTTTTTTTTGTTTTAGGTGTTAATTTGTGTAATGTTTCGAGTGAAAGTGACAAAAAACAAAGTGCAGGGCGTCGAAGTGTAAACAATCCAAAATAAAGTATTTTCCGGAACGGCGTCATCCAACACGGAGCAAAAGCTCGATGAAACGATGCTCAGAACAACAATGGCTGCTCTGTTTCACTTTCACCCCACCACAATGACCACGGCCACGGCCACCGCCACGATACACTCTAATGGCGTCCTCTTTCGATCCCTTCATAAACCCCTTCGCTTTATAATTCGAAAAAACTACTCTCGAGTAGTCAGACCCATCTTATCCATCAATATACCTCGTTCTCTATCTTCTACAGCAGTTCCCGAAATTTCGAACAACCCGATTTTTTATTTGGACCGTGATTACCTATCTTGCTCAATGCCCAATAGCAACCGCCCCCTCAAAGTGGCTGTTCTTCTCAGCGGCGGCGTTGATAGCAGTGTCGCACTTCGCCTCCTCCACGCAGCCGGACACTCCTGCACTGCTTTCTACCTTAAAATCTGGTTCCAAGTACGCGCTTTTTCCTTTTTGACTGCAGCTTACTTTGCATTTACGATTATGCATAAGCCTATTTTAGGTTTATGATCATAATGTCTGATTAGGATGCAAGTAGGATATAATCCCTAATTTTGTTGATTACCCGTTAAATTCAAGTTGTAAAAGGTAAGTTAGTTGCAATATAGGCTATGCACTTCTAATATTTGGCCGAATGGTACTTCTGCCCCAATTCAAGAGTCTAACTTCGACTTTTGTGGTGAATGATATAACTGAATTTGTGGAATTTCAATGTGAGCTGGTGATTTGTTGATCTCAGAAGTCATAACAGTCTATTTGGTGCAGTTGAATGTTCTCTTACTAGATTCCCAGATAAATTTGATGTGCATGTATCATATATGATATACGTATGCTTGAATGATGCTTTTCATAGCAAACCCTTTGTCACTTTATATGGTTTATTTGCAATGGAGCTGTTAGATTAAGGCTATACAAACAACGAGAGAGATTCTTGGTAATCCTTCTTGAATGCATTGTTTGTGGTTATTTCAAGTGCAAGTGTCAAAAGATAACGTGTCTGATATTTTGAAATTTCATGGTGCTTTGATGATAAGTCATTGGACGAAAGCATGTAATCGTGTATGTTAGTATGTATGTATGAGAGTCACTTTTATCGCGAATGCCAATCTTGAAAACATGTTAATATGCTAGCAAGGAGCTAGACTTGGAGCAAACAATAAGGTTACTTCTTTGTGCGGTCTTTGTCAAGGAAAGATTGCATATACTCCTTGCCTTTGAAAACCCAGGAACCTTGGTGCACCTGTGTCACTCACTCTTGTTAATAACCAAACCAATTTATGCACTATATTCCACTCGGAAGTAGGGTGTCTAGGGTCTTTCTTGTTAATCTGTTCACAGATGAACAAAATTCACAAGAAAATCAAATCTCCCAACTCTGATTGGTTTCTTAATTTTGTGTATTTGTTTTACCTCTCTGTCTTATGTCTATGAGCACTAGGCACTTTGAATCCTATAATTACTCTGCTAGTTCTGATATTGACTGTATCTATAGGAAGATTTCGAAAATTTTTGGTCCGAATGCCCCTGGGAAGAGGATTTGAAATATGCTAAAGCTGTTTGCAATCAGGTCAGTTTCTTCACTTTGTATATTATCCAACTCATTTTGTCTTCAGATTTCAATTAGGACTATATGGATTCGAAGGTGCAAAACCATGGCCCTGCTTTTAAGAATTGAGGTTCTTGATCTCATCATGGATATATCACATAAATCCCTGATTGTGTCATCTTTTCTTTGTTTCTTCCTTGTTTGACAAATGATATAAATTAGTGACAAGGGAAATACATGAACAAGCTTTTAATGACTTCAGGTTGACGTACCACTGGAAGTTGTACACTTGACAGATGAATATTGGGATAAAGTGGTGAGTAACAGCCCTCTTGATGCATCTTTTAGCAATCATCATGACCGTGCATTCAAGCTGTTTTCTTTGAGCAATGATTTTATTCGCTCCCTTGCTAGTTTTGTGGAATCTTTTAGCAACCATCATATTCTTAGCCAGTTGATTATATTAGTTAGAGATAATTACGATTATATTAGTTAGAGATAATTACRATTATATTAGTTAGAGATAATTACGGATTTGATTTATATTTTTCATTAATTATAGCCGATAGGGTTTCTTTGTACATACCCTATATATAGGGATTTTCTGTTAATGATGAAGGTATCGAGTTTTGCAAACTTTCACATATTTTCAGTTTCTATTTACAAAGCTATATGATATAAAGAATGTTGTGGGTATGATCTTTCTGCTGAAATGGAGATGCATTTGGCAAAACATCTTATGTTTCCATACAGTTAAAAATGCTCTACTGAAAAGACATTTTGGCTATATTTTGTTCTTTTCCCATTTTGAATATCTTTAATCATCATTTCTGTAAATAGAAATCAATCCCATGTGCTGATAGAAAGCACATAATATTTTAAACGTCAAAATGACGACAACTAGATCTGTCACGGGGTTTAATTTTCTAAAAGTCGTGCAAATTTCACCAAAAAATATAAGGATTGCCATTTGTCAAATGTTGATTCCATGGTTGTTTTCTTAAGTTTAAAACGGAAAGCATAATATATAATCGTCAAAAGATACCTATGCTCTTTGTTCTAGTGAGATCATTCTAGAGGGTTGTGTATGTGTGCATGTGAAGTGGTGTAATCATTGGAACTTATTGCTTCATATTGCAGGTATCTTACCTTATTGACGAGTATAAGTGTGGCCGTACTCCTAACCCTGATGTTCTCTGCAATACGAGAATCAAGTTTGGTATGTAGTTTTGGTAAACTTGCTACTTGATTTGCTCTCAGTTGTTTGTACTCTCCTTAATTTCACTTTTACTTTTAGGTGCTTTCATGGACGCCATCAGTAACATGGATTTTGATTTTGTTGCTTCTGGACATTATGCAAAGGTGGTTCATGCCGATTCAGACAAAACCAATGGGATTTCATTTCTGCAACTCTCAAAGGATATGGTGAAGATACATAGCTATTTGTTTTTCCCTTTTATTTTTGAATATCCAGTCTTAGGGACTGTTTGTGAACAACTTGATGAGCTCAATGGGACTCCGGTTAGCTATACATGACTGTTTGATAGTGGCTTAATGATATAGAAAGTGGCTTATTCATTAAGCTTCTAGGGTGGAACTTTATGCATAAAGCCAAGTTTTTCCAGACCTCCCCCTCCCTATTAAAAAACACGCTTCTTCCATCTATGAAAAAATCCTCTTCCAACGCATACAACAGATTAATCCACACAGTCAGCTTTATCCATACAAGACTTGATGAAAAACCTACCAAACAGCCCCTAGTTTTCTGTCCTTGTGTGTGTGTGTTTTTCTGGTGAGATAAATTCAGGATTGCTCGTGCATAACCTAAATCTTCACGTTCCAGGTCAAAGATCAGACCTACTTTCTTTCATATCTCTCGCAGGCTCAGCTTAAAAGACTTGTGCTTCCCCTTGGATGTATTCCAAAGGTAAGTCTGCTATACAAGAAATACAAGGACATGTGTATATGTATATAAATGTGTATGTATACGTATGGATGATACTGTAATGATTTATTATCCTAAATCTCTCCTATCAACTCATCAGAATGACGTGCGCAAGCTCGCCAGAAAATTTGATTTGCCCAACCAGGATAGAAAGGATTCACAGGGAATATGCTTCCTTGGGAAGGTATGTCCGCCTAACAAAAACCCTAGACGATATTCAAATTTAGGTAAAAAAGGACTTGTTTGGGAAGGATCTCATTGTAATGCCTACCCGATGCAACCACTCACTATATGGGTGCTTTTTTCATCGAAATGGTTTGCTTATGCAGTTGAAGTTCAGTGAATTTGTGGGAAGACATATTGGCGAAAGAGAAGGCATAATATTGGAAGCTGAAACAGGGGATTTTCTAGGAGCCCATAGGGGCTTTTGGTTTTACACGATTGGTCAACGTCAAGGTTTGGGTCTTGCGGGAGGACCATGGTAATTTTTTTTAACTCTTTTCACCAGATATACATATATTTGAGGCTCTGATCTGCAACTACATGCAATTTATGCAGGTATGTTGTTGAGAAAGATGTAAAAAATAATGTGGTTTTCGTATCAAGAAACTATTATTCCGTTGACAAAAGAAGGCGTTCATTCCATGTTGGATCCTTTAGATGGATCAGTGGATCTCCTCCACAAAACTTGAATCAATTGAGATGCAAGGTAACTCAAATCCATATCAATTTCGCATTTTGGAAGTTAGAAGTTCAAATGAATGTCGTCTTTTAAAACATAGATGACATTTGTAAAATTGGCAGGTCCGTCATGGTCCTGATTTCTACGACTGCACTTTGCATATGGAAGTTGCTGAAAACAGAAGTGAAAGTATTGGCACTGTCCAATTACCCAAAGATGATCAGGGTCTAGCAGCCGGCCAATTTGCAGCATTCTACGAAGAACAGGTTTGTGTGGGGTCAGGTGTGATCTTAGAGTCGTGGGACGATAAGGGGTTTCCTGTTTGTGACAAGGCTCGTGAGATTGCGAAAATGGAAGATAAATCTAAGCTCGGGAAACCCGTCAAGATCATGCCAAAACCTGAAGATGTTAGAAAAATTCCAGACCGAAGATGTAAGCTTTTAGATTAGATCTAAATTATATATTGAATAGTAACAAATCAATATGCATTTCTGAGATGTATGAGGTGGCAGGTGGGATGTATCCTTCTCAAAGTTTTGGTGTATATGTATAAACTGTATGTAATCAGATTTTGGTTTCAAGAATGTAGAGGAGTTCCAATTTTTTTGTTTGTTGTATGTAATTTTTTTTAAAGTATTAAACCATAAGGGTGGTGCCTGATTGGTTTGAGCTTGAAGGTCAAAAGTACCTGGAGGTCTCAAGTTCAAATCCAATGAGTAATAAAAATCTCTTTGTGGTCACAGAGGTTCAAATGCGGTGACTAAGAGCTATCTGCAAAGCAGGTGGTCGTCCTGAAATTAGTCGGCTCGCATAGCAGGTTGGATATCCAGGAAAAGAAATTACAAATTTACTTATTTGGGGTTATTAAAAAAATGTAATATTGCTTATACCCAACTATACAAAGTTACAAACAATATATTGTATTAAATAATAATATTTATATATAATCGTTTTTTTTAAATACATATCAGTTTCATATTAAAAGTAATATTATTATGTATATTTTTTGGTTTTATTTCTTAAAAGCATTTTAATAAATATTTTATAAAAAGATGATAAATGTTCGACATTGTTATTTACACCTTTTAATAGAGAGTGTTGAATGCTTTAAAATTTGTCATTCTAATTTCCATTGTTATTGAGATTTAGGTGATGTTTGGTTTGTAAAATATTTTTAGATATAATGGAATCTGTTAAATAAATTTGATTTTGTAAGAATTGGAATAAAATGTTATCAGGTTTAACCAGCTGTTTCATTGGCAAACACTGGAATATGATCTATTAAAGAACTAGTGTTTGACATCGCGCGTTGCGCGATGACGATAATTTTTTTATTATTATTAAAGTTAGCTAAATGAATCGATGATCACATTTATATATTAAATTAATAAGAATCAATATTACCTTTGATATATGAATTTACCCACCTCATTTTGATTATCCATATATTTTATACGAATTTTACAAAAAACAAATTAATCCTGAATACAGTGCAAACAACCCCGAAAACACACTATTTGAGCCACTTAGAGTCATAACTGACTTTCGACCCTTCATGAAAGTGGTTGCAAGATACGAGCTTATTTCGACTTACAGTTTGTGAATATACATTGGCAAAGTACGGGAGCT